TGTGGCTGTCACCAAGTAGTAGAAAGAGGGTAAAAAATATTTATACAATTTACTGTTTTAGAAACAGTGAATTGTGTAAATCTCCCAAGAGACTGCTTCCCCGATCACTAAAATCTAAATCTCTTCAAGTCTGGAGTCAACCGTTAGCTATCCTATATATCTACTCCCTCCTTTTACATCTATACAACAACCTAATTTAATAACCATCTACCTAGAGTGATTCCCGAACCTTGTATTAGGTCAACATTTCGTAAAAAGAAAAGATATGAAAACTGTTACGTTTCATAAAACAAATTAATTTACTTTCTCTCTCTCTCTCTATATATATATATATATATATATATATATATATATATATATATATATATATCCGTATGTGTGTGTGTCTGTGTGTGTGTGTGTGTGTAAGTCTGCGCTATACCACTTCAGGATATGGGATCATGACTCTCCACAACTTTCTGTTTTTGTTGTTCTTGGCAAAACTTGCTCCTTTATGACCCCGATTTTCTTGTATTCTCTTGCCTTCGATATATATATTTTTTTTAAGCGTTTCACCCCAAGCAATGCGGGAAGCCACTAGGACGCAAGGGGTTACAGAAAATTTGGTGCACAATCAGATGGGAGTGATAGAAGAAAGGATGAGGAGAAGGGTAGTGGATAGATCAAGGCAACTGAAGATACAGAGGCCAGTGAGAGAGAGAGAGAGTGTGTGTGTGTGTGTGTACCGGGAACCCCTTCCTAAACAAGAAACAAGGCGTAAGCCTCTACTCATGTCCAAAAGAAGGGGTTGAATTCGCTAAGCCTTTTTCCTCATTGCGTCACAAAGATTTCAGTGGTCTTTTTCTGATTCCTATCAAGAACTACTTTTGTAGATTTTTTTCTTCTTTTGACTAAAACTTTCATGTTTCTTATGTATTCGATGTGTGCTTTTCTGAACATTTCTCGTAACAACTCCCCCTTGGTCGCTTGAAGTTTTTTTTTTTTTTTTAATTTCAAAGGAAAGCAATCGTCATTCACTGCCATATTGGAAAGTGAACACTAAAGAGCAGCCCAGCATTGTTTACTGAATAGAATACTCACATGAAGTTTGGTAATGAACGATAATACTTGGAACAAGAACAACAGATATAAGAATCTCCAGCTGCGCGTAGAAGTTGTCAACTGCTAGAAATGAGTTAAGTGAATTCCGCAATGAATCTCTAACTGCAGGATATCTAGCAGCCGCCTACACTTTGATCCCAACCTGATACCCAGGGTGTTTATTGTAACCTAGGGAAGGTTACTGAATAGAATAATCGCACGAAGGTTGGTAATGGACGATAATACTTAGGACAAGAACAACACATCTAAGATTCGCCAGGGGCACGCAGAAGAATCAAGTCAAGTGAATTCCACAAAGAATCTCCAACTGCCGACCAACATACAGTATTTACTACTGTATTTATGTGAATGGGGACATAGCCATTATCGTCCGTAGGTATGCTAAAATACTAATGACTTCGATCACTTAATAAATTAGATAATTTCTAAAAATGCATATTTCGCTATCCTTATGCGCCCTCGGAAAATCTATGTCAGAAAGAAGAATCAAATCTCATAAAAGTATAGTAAAAACTATGCAAACTCCGTGTGTTACATTTCAACAACTTGATTTTGTTTTTTCTCGATGGCATTTTTGGCTCTCCCTTTTGCTCACTTGTCCTTTCGATACGGCTTAGAATACGCCAACTGCATCACCTGCGGAGGGAGGAACAGCCCCCGCAAAAGACGTCACTTTTCTGGGTAGATAGCTACTGCCTCAGGTATAAATCCGACCAATATCTTCCTTACTGAACCTATATCTACCTTTTCGACCCCAGTGTAAACTGTACTTATGTCTACCTTTCTTGATACTTGTCATGAGATATATCTTCCATTTTTACCATAGTGTAAACCGGACTAATGCTAACATTTTTTTTTATTCTAATATAAACAGGATCAGTGACTATCTTTTTTGCTCAAGTGTAAACAGGGCCGTTGCATAGTTTTTGATTCTCGTGTCAAACAGACCTATATTCTACTTTTTTGATGTGAATCCTCCTCTTCTACCTCTCCCCAGCTACCGGTTAATCAGTAGGACTTACATCAGTAAATCAGTACTATCACCAAAGAATTCTTAGAGTCTAAAATATTTTATGGTTTATAAATAAGATGCAAAGGGTTGATAAACCGTAAACAAAAGAAATCAAGCAAATCAAATCTGCCTTTTTGACCACAGTGTAAACTGGACCAATGTCTACCTTTTTGACCCCAGTGTAAACTATACTTATGTCTACCTTTTTGACCCCAGTGTAAACTGTACTTATGTCTACCTTTTTAACTCCAGTGTAAACCAGACCTATGTCTATCTTTTTGGACCCCAGCGTAATTTGGACTTATGTCTACTTTTTTGACCCCGGTGTAAACCGAACCCATGTCTACCTTTTGGACCCCAGTGTAACTTAGGCTTATGTCTACCTTTTTGACACCAAGGAAATCCAGACCTCTGCCTACCTTTTCGACCCGAGTGTAATTTGGGCCTATGTCTTCCTTTTTCACTTCAGTGTAAACCAGACTTATGTCTACCTTTTGAACCCCAGTGTAATTTGGGCCTATGTCGACCTTTTGTATCCCAGTGTAAACTGGACCTATGTCTATCTTTCTATTAAAGCATTACAATTCTTTTCATAGACGACTTATATCCGACATATTCCAAAAGGCATTATTTATCACTAAACTAAACAAATTAATCTTTTCCTTACAAGCATGCATTGTCTTCTCATAGTTAATGATAATTCCATTTTTCTTGTTTTCATCAACTTGTCTCATAATGTTTTTAGTTTTTCTACAGAATCTACCGTCAACATAGTTTTGTCTGCTTAGCGTATTTTACTTTTATGTCCGCTGTTAAGTTTATAAACAATAGTCAAAAGAGTGCTGGGGACTTGTAATTGGGCCCCGACTAATGGCGACCTGATACGTCCTGTGTGAAGTTATAAAATAATTATATATTTAACAGTCATATAATAAAGCCATAAAATAATTATATATATATATATATATATATATATTTCAATAAAGGTGCAATTAATTTACAAATTCATGAATTATTCATACAAAAAACAAATACAAAGGTTAATGATTTAATTGGCGAGAAATCAATCGTCGCGAACAATTCAAATAATATACAAAAACCCCGAACCTGTTTATGAATGAAAAGATCCTTGTTTCTATAAATTTCTGTTGCATAAGTTCTTATTATTTTTACAAGCTTTCGTCTGTTCCTACAGACATCCTCAGGTATGGAATAGATTTTGTTCTTGTTTTTATTCTCAGTAATAAGAGGACAACGAAAATATATGTATTGTTGTAATCCGAAAAATGCTATTAGAAATGAGTTATTGTTTTTGGAGCGTGCAGTCGCAACGCTGAGTTTGAATTTAAATTTTACAATTGTGCGTTCTTATACAAATATGGTGATAAGTGAATTCTTTTTTACTGGTAAATTTTCTGTCAAAGTGGCATGAACTTTATTGTTCAATAATTACAGTAATGTCGCACTTATTATCCAAATGTTGCATTTATAATGACCATATTTTGTATGAGGATAACGTTTGCATTAATTCTTAACAATTTTTCTAGATTTGCAATACATTTAAAAAATATAAATAAAAAGAATTTTCTGTCTGTATTTCGCAGATGAGGCTGCCAGCTTCTATTACCATTCTAACTGGTTCTATTGTTTTGTTTCTGTTCATTTTGACCATTGCCAATTCTACTTCAGACCACGCAGGATTAAAAACAAAACTTTCAAAGGGCTGGTGAACCTTCTTGTAGGGTCAACACCCATCTAGCACGAGCGGAATTTTAGGCATTCTTAGGTGGGGAATTGTGAGAGAAAAAGGTTGGAATCTTCGGCCCTAGACGCGCCCACTCTTGCTAGTGTTCGTAGCACATACGCTGCTACCGTGACTATGTAGTAAGCGTAATATGAGAAGGATTCAATTATTTAAAGTTTAATATCAACAAGTGTAACCTTAACATAATAGATAACATGTGTATTTAAGTAATTTTACAATTACTTCGTACTTAATGTTAATATTAGCTGTTTCCTTATAAGGAAACATTCGGCATTCATTGATCGAGCAGCCAGCACTGCTATCGGTTGAAAATAATAAAATCTTTCTCTTGAAACAGTTTTACAGGAAAATAGGTTTTTCAAGTCCAGTAGCTGTTATTACTCTTTACAGTATTGACGGTGGTTTCTTTCCTAATGTTTTATTTGAAGTAATGCGGAATGTCAGTATCTTGATTATGTAATAATTTTATTATATCAGTCTTAGCTGCTGCCGCTGTTGAAAATCAAGTCCTTAAGTGACATGGGTTCCCTTATCTGCTACGGTTTTCCTTAAATAACGTTTCAGTTCATATTTTCGGTTTAAATTTTATTTTTGCAAGGTTTTTAAAACGGAAAATTAGGTTTTGTATACAAATGTCTAAAAAAAAATGCAAGTCTATTCCAATCAATATAATTTCTGTCTGAAATACACCAACGTATTTTCCTTACCGGATATAGTAAATTTAATCATTTAGCTTTCATTTAAAGCTTAACAGAAAACTTCAAGAAAGCTTTTGCATTAAAAAAAAATTCCTTTTAAATCTTACGGATACCGAATTCGTTTTTCCTACAATAAAAGAACATGTTTCAAAGAGATAGAAACGGATGATTAACATTGCATCTAAATTTTTGAAGAAGATCAAAATTGACTGACATTTTGTTACTTAAATTTTTATTTATTGTTCTTTAATTCCTATACTGAAAATGTCCTCACTTATCTGTTTCATGCCGAGTATTGGCTTTACTCAGGAAAAAAGACCTGACCAATGAAATACAAGTGAACGAGACTTATATTTCTAACAGTTTATGTCTAATACTTACCAAATATTAACCTAAACAACATTCTGTTCACCATCAAATAATTATGATATCTACGTCCCTAGAAGAGGATAAAGTTGAGAAATTCTTCTTCTTTAGTTTCTTCTTTGAGAATTTTCATTTATTTCATGCACGTTATTGGCGTTAGTCAAGAAACGAAGACATGGTGATTGTAATCCAACTCAACGTGACTAATAAAATGACACTTAAATTTCACTATATCACAACTGCCTGAAAATACCTATGCTTGTATAGTTGTTGCAGATCCGCTCGACAAAAAAGCCTTTTTGAAAAGGTTAAAGAAACTAAGAAAATACAAGGACCACGAGTTAGGAATCAGTAGAATGTCGCATTTCAAGACAACAAGATTAACTATTTTTATTGGGGCTTTTGGTAATAAGCAATTATTGGAGCTTTTGGTAATAAGCAATTTTTGTTGGGGTTTTTGGTAATAAGCGATTATTGATGCTTTTGGTAATAAGCAATTTTTATTGGATCTCTTGGTAATAAGCAATTATTTACAAGAAAAGGTTAAAGAAACTAAGTAAATACAAGGCTTTTGGTAATAATCATTTTTTATTCGGGCTTTTGGTAATAACCATTTTTTTATTAGGGCTTTGGTAATAAGCAATTTCTATTCGGGCTTTTGGTAATAACCATTTTTATTAGGGCTTTGGTAATAACCAATTATTGGGGCTTTTGGTAATAAGCAATTTTTATATTGGTCTTTTGCTAATAAGCAATTATTGGGATTTTGGTAATAAGTAATTTTTATTGGTGCTTTTGGTAATAAGCAATTATTAGGGCTTTGGTAGTAAGCAATTTTTATTGGGGCTTTTGGTAATAAGCAAGTTTTATTGGGGTCTTTGGTAATAAGCAATTTTTATTGGTGCTTTTGGTAATAAGCAATTATTGTGGCTTTTGGTAATAAGCAATTTTTTTAATGGGGCTTTTGGTAATAAGCAATTTGGGGGGGATTTTTGGTAATAAGTAATTTTTTTCTAAGTGCCGTGTCTCCTTCTGAACGTGAGTGATCATGGCCCTCCACAATATCATGAACTTCGTAACCCTTAGTAAAAGATGTCTCTTTCTTTCTATATCTCTGTTCTGCCAACCATTAAAATAAGGTCTGGGGGGTATGCGCTGATTTTCTACGCCCCTCTTGCCTGCAGTATGTTCTGTGAGTATCAAATTTTCCAAGCCCTTATTCCTCGGTATGTGGCCTAGAAATTTCAACTGTCTCTTTCTGAAGTTTAGAAATAAGTGTCCTTTTTCCTTCCATTTTCTCTAAAACTAGCGAAAGCTTCATTCCAAATGTTAAGCAAAGTATTAAGAAATAAAAAAATAAATTTGAAACAAAGACACTAGTGTTGAACTGTTATGGAATAGACGTCCCCCTATATTGTAGTGAAGGGGGCACCACGAAGTGGTGTACTGGTTATCAAGCTTGTCTCGCTAGAACAATTACAACTGAGTAGTGGGTTCGTTCCTCACTGGGTACCCCCTACTTTCGGCCTTGTGCCACATCTAAGCTATGCTTGGAAAATCACTATATGGCAGTGAATTCTGTACAATCTCCTCACAGACGAAGACGAGACTTGAAGCAACAGAAATGAGGTACTACAGAAGGATGCTGAGAATACCATGGACAGAGCATGCGAGAAACTAAGCAGCTTTAGAGCAAGCCAATATGCGGATAAAATCCCTGGTGTTCCGAAAATATGCGAACAAATCAACAATGAAAATCATCAAATAACTATTATAGAACGTTGCGCATATTAACAGCTTTATTCTACTTATTAGGCTGGGTAATTCTTTTTGGTATGTCATTCACTGGCTATTACGAAGTTCTTCCAAGCTTTATAATTCTATTTTGTATACCATTTCTCTTGCTCATACAAATATTCTCGCATGAACAATATTCAACTCACATGTTAATTTTCGACGGAGACGGGTTAAGCTCTATCTTTAAAAAATTGGAAAGACACAGAATGTCAAAATCTTTAAAAAATAGAAAAGACACAGAATTTCAAAATATTTTTAAAAAATAGAAAAGACACAGAATGTCAAAATCTTTAAAAAAATAGAAAAAACACAGGATGTCAAAATCTTTAAAATAGAATAGACACAGAATGTCAATTTTTTTAAATAGAATAGACGCAGAATGTCAGCATCTTTAAGAAAAATAGAAAAGATACAGAATGTCAAAATATTTTTAAAAAATAGAAAAGACACAGAATGTCAAAATCTTTAAAAAAAAATAGAAAAGACACAGAATGTCCGGGTAACAATTGGTAGAGTGACGAAAAAGATGCTCTTCGCGATGAAGCAGAACAGATGAGTGCTTAGCACTAGGATATTTATTTTGTAAGATTACAAAATTGTGTCACAAGGCCGGGGTGGAGGGAGAGGGAAAGAAGGGGGCTGGTTTTCACTAGTTAATCCTAGTTAAATCCACTCACGATCCATTCATTCATTACAATTCACTCATTCACCAAAAGAATTTATTCATCATCACTGAATCCTGCATACACCAAAATACCGCATATTTACAGGGGATCTATAAAAAAAAACATGAGATAAAAATCTATCCGTTTTTGTTTTGTTTTTTTTGGAGGGTGGGGAGCTTAAAATAGACGAAGTGGCAACTATTGTTAACCAGATGAGTGGTTAACAATAATGGACACTTCGTCCAGTAACAGGGTCCCTTTTATGCCCCAAACACTGTCACATTTTAACCAGTTGATAGAAAACAAGAAGGCTCTGTCAGATATCCCGAGCAACTAACAGCAATGCTACCACCCCTGTGAGGAGAGTTCCTCGCTTGTAACTTTTATTTTTTATACTTTGCAATTCTTTTTGCTATGCCAGTTCCATGACTTGAACAAAGTTGGTCAAATGAACAGCCTTATTCTCCTTACTTATATGCGTTCGTATTTTTTGTTTTTGTTTTGTTTTGTTCATTAAACGACGGAGTTTTGTGCTGATAAATCGGCACTACAGTTTAAACAGGTTAAGAAAGCCAAGAATAAACTGTTTCTTCAATAAAAAAAAATATCTTTTAAAACTTTGTGATTATTATTATTATTATTATTATTATCATTATTATTATTATTATTCCAGTCAGCAAGCAAGCGTGTCAACCCAATTCTGACGGTGTTAAAATCGTCATCTCGTGCAATGTAATATCTATAATCATGACACCAAATGCACGCCGGACAAACATGGCGTCAATAATTACCACGTGATCGCCGCGAGAAAATGGCGCCACTGTCGAAAGGTCTATAATTTATGTGTCACTGAAAGGAGAAGAAAACAAAAAAAAACTTTAGGAACAACAACATAATTAACACTCTAAATATCAGGCTTATTTTATAATACAGTTTAAGCTTTTTCTTGCGCTCCGCGTCCTTGAATAAGAATAACATAGGTGACCAGTTGGGATTATTTCAAAATTAATAGAAGCAAGCTTAGGTAGTTTAAATGTGTTTCTGGTCATTCAAAAGCATTGTCCAAGGCTTTATGCATATAAGGACACTGTGTGTCGTAGGAGAGTGCTTTTAGTTTCTATCTAGGAAACTCGAAAAAAAGATTTTCATTTCAAATAAAACAAAAAACGTGTTTCTTTTCTTTTTTTTCTTTTTTTTTGTCTTTTTCTTCTTATTTTTTTCTTTTATTGTCTTTTTCTTCTTATTTTTTCTTTTTTTGTCTTTTTCTTCTTATTTTTTCTTTTTTTGTCTTTTTCTTATTATTTTTTGTCTTTTTCTTCTTATTTTTTATCTTTTTCTTCTTATTTTTTCTTTTTTATCTTTTTCTTATTATTTTTTGTCTTTCTTATTATTTTTTGTCTTTTTCTTCTTATTTTTGTCTTTTTCTTCTTATTTTTTCTTTTTTTGTCTTTTTCTTCTTTTTTTTTGTCTTTTTCTTATTTTTTCTTTTTTTTGTTTTTTTTCTTCGTATTTTTTGTCTTTTCCTTCTTATTTTTTTGTCTTTTTCTTCTTTTTTTTTGTCTTTTTCTTGTTTGTTTTCTTCTTTTTTTGTCTTATTCTTCTTATTTTTTTGTCTTTTTCTTCTTATTTTTTTGTCTTTTTCTTATTTTTTCTTTTTTGTCTTTTTCTTATTTTTTGTCTTTTTCTTCTTATTTTTTTTTTTTTTTTGTCTTTTCCTTCTTTTTTTGTCTTTTTTTAATTTTTTTATCTTTTTCTTATTTTTTTTGTCTTTTTCTTCTTATTTTTTTTTGTCTTTTGCTTCGTATTTTTTGTCTTTTTCTTCTTATTTTTTCTTTTTTTGTCTTTTTCTTGTTTTTTGTCTTTTTCTTCGTATTTTTTCTTTTTTTGTCTTTTTATTTTTATTTTTTTGTCTTTTTCTTCTTATTTTTTCTTTTTTTGTCTTTTTCTTTTTATTTTTTTGTCTTTTTCTTCTTATTTTTTCTTTTTTTTGTTTTTTTCTTTTTATTTTTTTTTTCTCTTTTTATTTTTTTTGTCTTTTTCTTCTTATTTTTTCTTTTTTTTTGTCTTTTTCTTCTCATTTTTTTTTTTGTTTTATTTTCCATGGCAGCAAATTTCAGAATTGAATCATTCAAGGTTATGTAGTTTTACTGAAAGCAAATCGAAGATGAAGCTAAATTGTTAAAGCATGCGAAGTGTATACGTTGAGGTTCCTTATTGCAGAGAGTAAAAAGCCTTTTGAAAATCAGGGATCTGTAAAAAAAAAAGTAATTGTGGCAAAATTGTCATGAACTTTTTATCAGCTCATAAACTCATATTTACCATGAAAAATAAAAATTAAAGCAATAAAAATAAAAAAAACGAAACGAAATAAAAACATAGGTTTACGTTTTCAATTTCTTACTCCGTTACTCTATTGAACTTTATGTATTTTTTTTATTTTTCCTTTGGAGAATACACGTAGCTGTGGAGGTAGATACTACGAAATTGAGATATAGCTCATTATTATTATTATTATCGTTGTTGTTTTTGTTGTTGTGTTTTGGCTTTGTTTCGCTTAGTACGAGTTGCCCCAAGTCTCAACCAGAGACTTCAAGAGGCAACAAGTTTTTTGTATTAGAAGATGCAAATATATTAGGTGCCATGTAATCAGAGAGACACAAGATAATGTAACTTTGATCGCTGCATAAAGAAAAACCTGCGCAAGATGCTAGAAGAATCCACTAGAATGATTTTTTTTTTTTTTTGCAATTCGCATATTATAGGGCTGCTAGCAATTTGATCAACATATTTGTTTGTTCCTTTTGATATCATTCACAAATCCCTAATGAAAAAAAAAAAAAAAAACAGGTATTGTTGTCGTCTTCAATTGATACATTCTACTGATTTCTATCTGAAAGTCCTTGAATTTTCTTAGTTACTCAAACGTTTTTAAAGATGTGTTTTTGTCGGCTGAAGCTGCAACATCTTTTAGAAAACATGTCCTTTCAACATGATTTTGCTCAATTATGACGGGTAGATTTGCCTGGATTTCCCTAGTCGTTTGAATGCTGAAATTCGAAAGTACGGTAACTTCATAATTCTGAGCAATTCGCTTATGTTCCCATCTAGTTCTTTTATGAGGAAATTTGAATGCGAAATATTGACCAGTTATTATTATTATTATTATCTGCTTCATTAAATTCACTATTACAGGGTAGGGTTATTAAACAAATGCATTAATGCTTTCATTCACTCTTATCTTAATATATATACGAGGTCTAATAAAAAAAATATCGGGTCTGATGTTATAAAAAGAAAACTACAACACATATCAATTCGTCATTTAATCTCCTTCGAAGTACTCTCTTTTTGAAGCCACACACTTTATTATGCGTTATTTCCATTAATGAAAGTATCCATAGGTCGTCTCCTTTTTAGGGTTAGTGAGCAGCTTCTGAGTCTCTTAGATTTCTTCGACGTCTTGAACTCTTTGAAAAATGAATGTCAGAACATGGACTGATAAAAATAGTAAAAGAATAAACTACGCTGCTGTGGCGAGCCATGACCGCCCACGTCTTAAAGAGGGGGAGGAGGGGGAGAAGAAGAAGAAGAAGAAGAAGAAGAAGAAGAAGAAAAGAAGAAAGATACTTCTCTAAGATAGCAGATTCGATCTCGTCTCCAAGCTTCAGTATTGTTGGGTTATGCCAAATTGTGGTGTATCAGGATTTACGACATTAGTGTATTAACATCTATCCAGTCCGAAACTTGGACAATTCTGTAATTTTTATTTCAATGCTAGGTTGGGTATTTTTTTTAAGTCTTATCAAAGCGATATCATCAAACTGAATTCTTCTTTTACGTGTTGTATCACTTCAGGACGTGGGCGATCATAGCGCTCCACAGCTTCCTATCCTTTGTAGCTCTCAGCATTGTCTGTTTACTATCCCTCCTACATACTCCCATTTACATTATCTTGTTAGTCGGTTACTCAGTATTTCCCTCTGTATGAGTAATGTGAGCTGTGAGTTTCAAATTCTCCAAGCCTACTTTTCTTATTCTGAATCTTAGTAATGTCAACAGTCTATTTCTGATTCTAGCTATAAGTGTTCTGTTATTTCCATTTTCCTTAAAGCTACATTGAACTGAATAATCCATTCAACAAATCATTCTTTGCTTTGATTCAATGTTTAGAAGCGTCGGAAAAAAGTTGCATGTGATGCACTGTAAGCGATGTACATCCATTTTGACCATCATGTACGCAATTCAAGTCAAGAGCTGAAAACTCTCTGGAGATGAGCAAATAATTCGGTCTCTTGAGAGGAAGTCTTCAATGCTAATAAATACATCGGCATGCAAGTCAGTGCACATTACAAAGGACAAATGTATCATCAGGAAGCATAATAAACTTCTTTCTTAACTGCTAAAGAAATAACATCTCTTAACGGAAAAAAACTCTCTACAAAGAAAAACATTCATGTTAGCGTGATAAAAGCCTCGTCTCTCCAGATAGACAAGCATATCACAAGAAAATATAAGAGTTGGTCATTTTCCTACAGCCAGACAGAAAAAAAATAAACGGGAGAAAAAATAAATATCCCCTATTAATATCGTAAAGATCCTGCTTTATAGATATTACCTAAATATATCTTAGTCTTGTTTTATTGTAATATTAATGCTAATATTAATAGCCGTTTCCTTATAAGGAAACATTCAATAGTGCTTCTGTAGAATGCGGTCTACCTCATTTTCTACTATAGTATGTGGTTTACCGCGCTATGAATTATACCGTGACCGCACCTCGCTTCTTGTTTCGTCCACCTGCGGTCTACCACGATGAATTCTACCATCACCTCACTTCGTGTGTCCTATTCACATAAAAGGAAGGAAATGAGGCTCCTACATCAGAACCCTCCTAGGTCTGAAACTGTTAGATTAAAATGATGCTGAAAGAATTTTATAGACGTGTCATATTGAGCGAGGAAACAGCAGTCGCATTTTTACGAGAGAGCAATCTGATAGATACGCTGAGTGTTTGATAGCGCAGTAAACTGAAAATGAAGTAGACCGCAAACTATAATGTGTGATACCGTCGTAGACTGCATATAGCAGCACCAATTCAGAATTCATTGACCAAGTGGCCATCTTACTATCGGTTGAAATTTTTAAAATCTTTTGATTAAAACAATATTCCAGCAAAATATGTTTTTTCAAGTACAGTATCGATTAGTAAGCCTCCCAGTATTGATATGACTTTCCTTCCTAACCTTTTATTCGAAGTAGTGTGGAACATCAACATCTTCATTATGTCATCATTTTATCTTTGGTAGGGTTAGGTTTAGGGTTTAGGCTTAGGCCTTAGGGTTGGTTAGGGTTAAGGATTAGGGGTTAGGGTTAGGGTTAAGGATTAGGGGTTAGGGTTAGGGTTAAGGATTAGGGGTTAGGGTTAGGGTTAGGGTTACATATGCTCTACATTTTAGTTGTTGCTGTTGAAAATGCTTCTGGGATTATTTCCATTGATTCAAATGTTATTCGGATTAACTAATTAATTTTTCTACTTTTTTATCTCAATATGATCTACCATGCTTTATCTCTCTGTAGTAAAGGCGTTTAATTTTTTAAAAAAAGTTTTTTTATTTAGCACCCACCTTCAAGAAATCTGAGACGCATATGATACTTTGGGAGTGGTTTTATTATACCCAGACTTTTTTCGTACCTTTACGAGCAGCTTTTATTTTCTTTTTCATATACTATTGGCGTCAGTTTAAACTGACACATTCAATTTTCCACGTTTTTTTTAATCACTTGACCCCAAGCAAAGCAATAATGTCGCTAAGACGCAAGTGGCTACTGAGAATGACAGAAAATGAGGAAAGGAGAAAACCTTAGTGGAGAGAAAGGACAATAAAAGAACAGAGTTCAGAAAAAGGTAGATGATTGATGTTAATTTTTTTTAAATTTTAGTTGGCATCCATTTTAGTAGTTGTTCTTGTTGACAATCTTTCTATTATAACATTTTTATAGGAAATTAGGTTTCTGAAGTCTTGTAACTGTTATCGCTCTTTCCAGTACTAACGGGAGTTTCCTTCTTAATCTTTTGTTTGAGATAGTGTCTAACATCAAAATCTAGATTATGTCATTATGATCTCTGTGCTATTCATTTTAGTTCTGGCTGCTGTTGAAAGACCCCAGTTGATATGGTCTGCTTTATTTGGGACATATCTTTCTTTGTGATTTTGTAACACCAGCCCATAAGAATGGTCCTTGCTAAAACCTACAGGCGTCATTCGCTGGAAGCCACTTTCAACCATCGATCTGAAAATGCAGTTTTATATACTTCTGACAGTTTAGATATTTCTGAGCGTCTTTGGCGTCGTTCATGACATCGATATTAAATTTTCGATCTAAGGAGGCGATTTAAGAACATGACTCGAGATTTTAGGTTAATACTACAGTATTGAAGTTAGATAAAATTCTTATTGAAAATATTAAAAGCGATACTTTTAGGTGCTTAATAAACGGGGGAGGTTTATTTTCATATATATATATATATATATATATTTTGGGGTAGGGATTTTATGACTCTGACGAGCTTAATAAGAATACTCGCTTTTTTTTTCTAATTTCGCACTGTTCGATCCTTGAAATGATTTTTCGACCTCCCCTTTTATTAAGAACCCCACTTATTGCACACTGAGGACAATTTCTGACCTTCCTCGATTATAAAGTTCGAAACAAGTATTTACGTATCCCAACCAGAAAGTAGAATTCAAGTAGGAATATGTAATACTTTTTTTATCATTTTACCCCAAGCAAGGCAATAAAGCCACAAAGATATAAGTGATTACTGAGTGTTATAGAATAGGAGAAAAATAAAACATTATTAAGGAGAGAGATCAATAAAAGAACAGAAATTAATAGGACAAAAGTTAACGATTGACAGTGTATTTAAATTTAAATTTGAAAATTATAATTTTGAAAAGTGCCAAAAACGGCTTATTTCTTTTCTTCTAAAATCTTTTTCGACAAGCACCTGATGAAGAGCGTAGCGCACAACGTCCGAAACGTTGTTATGAAGACATGAGGACAATAGGCCACGGGTAAATAATATAAATAATGATAACAGCCCCCCCACTCTAGAAATTCAGAGGGAAATTTATCTGTCTAAAAAGTTACAAGAATATTACAATCGGTAAAGGTGGGAGATTGGAGGATAGATCCGTGTAACGTGCCTGATTATACTTTCCCTATATTAGTCGTTGATATCCGCCTGTATACTCTTTACTGTGAAGATACACCGGCAAGCAAATAAGATAGATGCCTGCACACCCACACAAATATAAGTGCTCGTATACCGGCATTCTGCTATTAAGGAATAAAACGAATTTCTCCTTATCGAAATGAACAGGGTGGCGTGGCATTAAACTAATTTTACGACGAAATAATAGCGGTTAGGTCAAGAGGCTGGACAGAGTCAACACTTATAAAAGCCACGTCTGTAAATCACGCCCGAGCACCTTATCTTCAACTCCCACTTAGTTGCCACTTTGGCGAGACGGGCTATTTTCAACCGAACTGTGATAGTCATTATTCGCCTACAGAAAACTCCGCAGGATAGTCTCAAAAAATAGTAATGTCAAAAGTTATCCATCTTTTGATTAACTCTTATCTGATGTTCTCGGATTAAGTATTTTCATTGATTCACATGATATTTGGATTAAATAATTAATGTTTCTTGTATTTTTTTTTATCGCAATATAATCTGCCATTCGTTATTTATCTGCAGTAAAGGCGTTTAATATAAAAAAAAAAAGTTTTCATGTATCATACTACTTCAAGAAATCGGAGGCGCATATTAAACAATGGGAGTGGTTTTATTATACACAGACTTTTTCCGTACCTTTAAGAGCAGTGCCATGTGTCCTCAAGAGCACATGGCACAGTGGATAAAGCCGTTGGTTAGGTCCAGTGACAGTACCCAAAGAGTGTGAGTTCAATGCCCGGTTAAGGCAGTGGAGAACTTAGAGAGGGGAATTAAGAGGAGATAACTGATAATTGACATGCATTAAACATAGCACTAGAACAGTCTAGCCCAGTGAGCGAAATAAAGGGTTCAGTTCGACATTCCAACCACCTAAAGAAGGCCAGAGCGTACAACGGCGGAAACGTTGTAATAAATATGGCGACAAAAATGAGGACGATAGTCCGAATAATGTAAATAGTGTACATTATAGCTCATCTCAGAAATATAGACAGATACTTTAAGAGCAGCTTTTATTTTCTTTATTCATATACTATTGGCGTCAGTTTAAACTGACACATTCGTTTTTCCATGTTTTTGCTTTTTTTATCATTTCACCCCCAAGCAAGGCGATAATACCACAAAGACGCAAAGGGCTACTGAGAGTGAAAGAAAATGAGGAAAGGAGAAAACCTTAGTGAAGAGAAAGGACAATAATAGAACAGGGTTCTGAAAATGGTAGATGATTGATGTTGCATTTAATATTTTTTTATATCTTAGTTGGCATCCATTTTAGTTGTTGCTCTAGTTGAAAATCTTTCTATTAAAATATTTTCATAGGAAATTAGGTTTTTGAAGTTCTGTAACTGTTATCGCTCTTTCGATTACTGATGGGAGTTTCCTTCCTAACCTTTTATTCGAAGTAGTGTGGAATATCAACATCGTAATTATATCATTATTTTCTTTTCGAGTTATATGTGGTATTCATTTTAGTTGTTATTATTAAAAGATCTTAAGTGATGCGGGCTCTGTTGTTTGGAGCATTTCTTTCTTTGTGATCTTTGCAATAAACAGGAATAGAATTCGACAGGCGAGAAGTGAGAGCGAAGAAACTATTAAAATATAACTTATATTGTATCTACGTTAATCCTAACTATTTAAAACAGTAAAATGGTGGGACCTAGATGCCAATCTAGTACTACGCTTAAATTCATAAGATTGAATTGCCAAAAACAGATTGATTAAATGATTCGTTTCCCACTACTTATCGACCATTTGCAGGTTAATTAAAACCAGAAAATATATTTAAATTGTAAGAATATATTTTTAGATTATATTAGTTTAGTGATTCAAATCTTACTAGTTAACCCATGAGTGGAGTGAGAGGATGGCAATTCATATCTTTCCCAAGGGTATTTGCTCGTAAGTGAACATAACGAACCCAATGGGAATTGGAACTTGTCTACTCGATTAACAATTCCCACTTAGCCATTACACCACACGCACATCCACAGCACATGGTATTTACGAACGGTTACCAATCCAGGTACTGACTAGGCTCAAATTTGCTTAACTTCGGTGATCGTACGGGGACCGGTAATGCAATGTGACGTGTCTGTAAGCCAGGTACCCAAGAGGAGAGCAAGATTTATTTTGAAAATAAAAAAATATGGCACAAGGCTAAAAAGGGGGAGATGAAAGAAGGCTGGTCTTCAATCTGTCTAGTCTTAAACTTAGTTAGCCATAATTACTAACCCAAACATACCACACTATTCTTTACAGCAAAACACACTCTTACCATTCTTACTACAGTCACCAAAATATCCCGAAGTTACTATGAAGTCCCAATTAGTTCCCATATGTACAACTTGTCTGTGGGGTTGTGGAATATAAATCCCAAAGAGGAAAAATCATTTGAACAATTGCCATGAATATATCTACAGAAAAGATACAGGGAAGCGGTATGGCGGTGGGAAAGTGACTGAAGTCGAGATGCCAGGTCAGGATCTATAACTGAGACCATTTTGCTTAAAGTTCGTTTTTGTTATTATTTCAAATGAAAACTTAGAAATTTTTCAACTTATTTCAGTGAAAATTTACCCCCCCCCGCAAAAAAAAATAATAGTTTATAATTATAGATTAGCTTTATGGAAATACGCGTCTGTTGACACTGAGGCCAAGAAGATATAGATCAATTATTTTATTAACTTGTTGCTGTCGATGATTCTTTATCAAGGGATTTAACTTACTGAAGACTACTTAAGACACTTAATGAAGTTTTGTGCATATCCGTGAGCTCACGGCATGTGTGGTTTGTGTAACAGACCGCGGTTCGGAATGAGAATTCCGAGGACCGAATTTGAATTCCAGTTGAGTTCGTTACACTCACTTATGCACAAGTAACCCTGGGACAGGTATGAAAGGTATTCTAACCTTGGGAAGGTTACTGAATAGAATAATCACACGAATGTTGGTAATGAACGATAATACTTAGGACAAGAACAAGACATATAAGATTCGTCAACGGCGCGTAAAAGAAGTAGACAACTGCTAGAAGTGAGTCAAGTAAATTCCACAATGAATCTCCAACAGCAGGATATCTACCAACCGCCCGACGTGGCCTCATGTGACACAAGGCCGAATTTAATGTGAGGTATCCTAGCCCATAGGCTCGGCCAAAAATTCCCCGTAGACCCCGTATAAAACGGAGTCGGGTAGCTGTTTCCCGAGACGAGAATCGGACCTTCGACATAGCCACGTCTGGGGATTCTCTCTGCCCGGAAGCAGAGATTTTGACCAGAACAATTGGAGACGAATCTCCAACTGCAGACCAACATACAGTATATATACTACTGTACTTATGTGAATGGGGACATACCCATTATCGTCTCTCCAGCTATGGGTTAAATAGTCAGATGAGATATGTGGAAAAATCATTGTTATTTCTTTTAAAAAAAATGTTATTGCAGTATTCACTCGCAAAAAAATCGAATTATGTTTTAAATGCAAAATATGTTTCGACTTTAAATCACCTACAAAGATTTGATAAGCTTTATAAAGCAGATCATAAAATCAATCAAAATCCGTGTGTCCACAATACCAATGTGTGTAGACTTATGCTTATTATGTAATAATAATAATAATAATAATAATAATAGCTCACCGAGTATGCTCGTCTGAGAGAATAGTCGATTGGTTGATTTAGTTTAGCAGCATATCAACCTCTATCTGTTTATTTATGCCAAAAACTAAATATTTTGAACACAATTTTATGACTTCAACTAAATATATTTTGAGAGAAATTGTATGCCTTCAACTACAGGTAAAAATGTATTCTACTCATTTTACTAAAATATATATAGTTTATAATTTTACTAATAAACATGTATTGATGGTAATTTTTTAAACTAAAAGATGTATAGCAGGCGTTTTTACTATAAAAATGTATTTTTATACTTTCACAGTGTTTTGTTTTTGTTTGGGGCTTCACTATTTGCTTGGGCCCTAACAGATGCTACCACTCCGGGTCAGGTTGGACCTGAGAACAACAGCAATTAAGAGATAGTTCCATGCTGCTCACAACTTCCAATCCCATGTTAAGCAGCCTTGCTGCTGGATTTAGTTTATCGTCATACCCAGGAGGAGTCTGAGAGAGTAGCTACAACAATCTATCGGTTATTATTGTATGTAAGTCGGACTAAATGAGTTAAATTGTTTAGAAGAAATTTATAATTTTGGAAGAATTTCTAATTTTTTAACCATCTGCGCTCTCAAATGTTGAGCGAATCTACAATATCCCAGTATACTCTAACTCTTAAACTTTTCTCTATTTCTGTAACCGAAGTTAAGCAACATCGAGCCTGGACAGTACCTAGATGAGTGGCCACATGAGAATACTGGATGCTGTAAGCTTTAATGCGTGAGTGGTGTAATGGATAAGGACTTGGAATTGTTTATCGGGGTGCCGAGTTTCAGTTCCCGTTGGGTTTGTTATATTCACTTATGCGCTCATACCCTTGACAAAGATATGAATGCACTTCTTCTCTCAGCTATGAGTTAATTAGTAACATTTGTAAAAAATATTTTCTGGCTTTAAATAACCTGAAAATGGTTGATAATCCCTAAAAAAACGAATCAGTTTATTGAACATTTAGTGTTTTTTATGTATTTATATTGATCTAATCACGGAAATTCTTCTCAGTATCCAACTAAATGGCCTTCATACCTAATGCTTAACTATTCTTCCCTTCCTCCTTGAATCAAATTTAGCGACTGTATATTCATTCGGAATGATCTTGTTGTGGACAGACAACTAGGACTTGTCTTTTATACACAAGGTGGGATGGGTAAATTGCATCCATTTTATATTCTTAACGCATGCGCGTTATTTGTTTTTGATTATGTCGGCTGCTCAGTATAGTAGGGTCAGTTGGACACCGCCTGTGAGAAAAAGAGAACCATGACACAATTCACTCCACCAGAAATTTGTAAACAACATGCTGTATTGCTTGACATTCGCGCCGGAAGCTCCAATAAGAACATTTCAGAGTGTTTAGGTGTCAATTTCAAGAGATTGCAGAGAATTCGGAAAGAGTTGGATGAGTCTAAAGGTGATTACGAAGGTGTTTAGAGTGTTCACTAGAAATGCCTTCCATTCATCTTCCCATAAGGCCTCATTCAACATAGAGGCCTACATCAAGTGTCTTGAGGAGGTAAATCCTATGTCTGGCAACAGGGCTCTGCAACATGTCACACAAGCAGGAGAACCCAGTCATGACTGTCAAACAATTTCAGCGACCACATCACCCCTTACATCTGGCCACCTAACTCCCCAGAATGCAACCCGCTTGATATGTGGGGTGAAGTTGAGAAGTTGTAACACCAAAGATGAACTGAAGGCAAGGATTATGGCAGCATTCGCCAACGTAAATAAGAACATGCCGAAGAGTTGCAGGAGATTACGAAGTCGTCTGGTGGCCGTGGTTGAAGCCAATTGTGATTTCATTGAAAAAATTTGCTCTTTTATATTTTGTTGTGGATCCCGAGATGAAATTCGGTCTCCAATGAATGACAAACGCAAGAAATAAAGATAAGAAATTAAATGTATTTACACAATAATACAAAGGGTAATTCTGTTAGTAAATCCAGGAACGCGGTTAGTCGTAATAAATATATATATACAGTCTCGAAGTAGGACTTCCTTAGAGTCTACGTGCTTGTAACTGACTTCTACAAGCGGTTACCTCACATTATTACTCTACCTCCAACTCAATCACAATCTCTATCTCTATCTCTATCTCCGTTCGTATATTCTGACTGACTGTGGGTATTTAACGACAGCAGTCCAAGTAACACTGGTAGAGTCCACTTATATGAAAAAGGGGTGGACCCCATAACATATTTCAAGATAATTTTGTCATTTCGGTAAATATATCTGGTAAAATGAGATGTCAGTGTTATTTTCATTTTTGATTAATTTAGACGAGAATTTAACTATCACACCCTGTATAGATTTCAGCCTTATTGCTACAATAATGTGTTAATTGTAAATGTCTGTGCATTAGAGAAACACAATTAATCACTTGGATTACGCAAGGTCGTTGTTGACAACAATATCTCCGGAAATGAGTGTGGCACATCATTGCTAACTGCTGACATCAGGAAATACCCAAATCATTCAGTTTAATTGTGATAATACATGTTAACCCACGGCAAATTGTTCCATCTAATAATCAGCTGCCGCCTACGTAGGATGGATATAGCGAGAGGCTTGCGACGTTTTGTCTGTGGGAAATGGATTGTAGGATAGAAGATCATTTATCAACCACAAGGCTGCGTAGACGTTTTCAAACTCAAAACAGGCGAGGACTAGGCAGTTCCAGGTCAAGTACTCCATTTCTGGTAGGATTTAGCTCTTGTAGAGTATAAGAGGAACAATAGGAAACTTACTGAAGCGAAACAAGAAATCGATCATTTTTCCAGCAACTTTAGCAATAGGTCATATATATATATATATATATATATATATATGTCAGTTCCACTTGAGGTTTGGGGTCAGCATGAGTCCCAATAGGACTACAAAACAAGGGGTCTCCTGGAAAGCACACCCATCCATCGTCAGACCGATACTTGCGCCAAGCTGTCAGCTATATACAACTGCTTTCTAAGAGATCATTTTTGCTGTATAAATTTCTAATACAACGGAGATTAATGACCTCAATGCGATAATCGCCAATATTTTGGCCACGGCACATAATAACAATATTGTTACCTCAGTTTTTTCCCTCAAACGGGTCTGTCTCTCACGCAGGTCAGATGACGCCAAACACAAGTGCTGAGGTGGGTGACTGAAAATTATTCTTAATTTTGACTTATTTCCTCCACAAAAAAAAATAACTGCGATGTCAACTAAATAAACATAAAAAATATACAAAGAACATATTTTCTTTACTTTTTTATACATAGGAACATACGTGGGCATTTTCAAGAAAGAAATTCGGATTACCAACACACAAACAGAGAATGTCTCATATCGAGAATATTTAACATTGAACATAAAAAATTACCTACCTGTTATGTCAAACTGTTCGTTGAAAATGTGGATCGTTCCGCGTTGTCAAGCTAAGATGGAAAAAAGGAAAGAAAAAACGAGTATGC